TTGTACTCAAGGATAAAGGGAAGGAAACAATACCATGTCAACGAGATGGAGTCGGAGGCAGCGCTTTCACTGGCCCACTGAGAGGAGCAGAACAGCACTGACCTTGTACTTGCTTTGGTTCACTGTGGGGGCACAGCTTCCTTCCAGAGGGGCTGTCAGTCTGTCACCTGTGACGAGCCTCAAGGTGTTGACTGGCACCCGTCACCTCACTAATCCTCGTGTCTTAAAAGGTCTTTTAATAGCCTCTCTCACTGTCTGTACATTTCAGCGCAATTGTTATGTGGAAGAAGGCAAAGAGTAAAAATGTGTTTGAGGTCCAATTCCATTAACAGCCCACAAAATGATTCTGAAATCTAATGCCCTGTAAAACAAAGAAAATTACTATTGTCTGTATTCTGACCCATTTAAGAAATTATTTTGGCCCTACAGATTCTGGGAATGCATAGCATCCAGTTAGTTTATACTATTCTCTTGCAAATGAGTTTTTTTAATGTAATTTTACATTAATCTGTTACTACAGCTTTTATTGCCCGGTGAAATTCAAATGTCCAAAGCCCATCTTCCACTGAAATTTAATTCAAGATATCAAACTATTGCAGTTGCATGATGCAATGGAAATGCTAGCCTAATTGAAATTCAACAAATCTGAATTGGAATCCAGGTTTTGTCATGTGCAGTCCAGGTTTTAGGTCTCTTAAAACCATTTACTGCTTATTATCTACTAAGGAGTGTTAAACTGGTATTGTTGAACCTTAACTGGGCCAGTTAAGCCTATCTTTCAGATATACAGCCATTTCTAATTAACTTGTATTACAGACCCCGAGGACCAGCAATGGGAACCTCTGCATTAAATCAAAATTGCTGAATATGGAAAAATGGCCACTGGATGTCTCTGTGAGCGGTGTCCTTGTCATTACGTAAATGTGGCTGAGTGGATCTTATCTTCCCTACAGTGGAAATCCAGACACCCCTGACAGAATCCAGGAAAAGGTCAGTCTTAACTGTTCCCACATAGGTACTGTACCCATACCATTGTAGCACGAGCTGAAACATTGTGCTCAAGCAAAATAAGGTACTGGATGAGACAGTTATCTTAAGCTATCTTTAGATGAGGCAGAGCATTAGCAAGGAAGACTGTTCATGAGTAAACTTTACTTGAGGTCAACTCGAAGAACAAGATATAGGCAATAAATGTCTTGGCAATACCAGATCCTCATTACCATGTTGGGATCATACAGCAGAAGTAAAATGAAATACTACCACAATGGACAAAAAACATGAGAAAGCTGCTGAAAATATATAGCCTCCATAACTCCAAAGTTGATACAGACAGAGTATATCCCCCAAGACACGAAGGTTGTCCTGTAACGATTAGTATACTCAAATGATTGTAGGCATACTTGGTTACATTGATCAAGAGGGCAGCTCAAGAATCAAATCGCAAAGGAGGAACTGCAGAAATACAAGAACGAATGTCTAAATACAGTGGTGTGAAAAAGTGTTTGCCCCCTTCCTGATTTCTTATTTTTTTGCATGTTTGTCACACTGAAATGTGTCAGATCATCAAACAAATTGAAATATTAGACAAAGATAACACAAGTTAACACAAAATGCAGTTTTTAAATGAAGGTTTTTATTATTAAGGGGAAGAAAATCCAAACCTACACGGCCCTGTGTGAAAAAGTGATTGCCCCCCCTGTTAAAACATAAATCAATTGTGGTTTATCACATCTTTGGAAAGCTGAGTTCAATTTCTCTAGCCACACCCAGGCCTGATCACTGCCACACCTGTTCTCAATCAAGAAATCACTTAAATAGGACCTGCCTGACAAAGTGAAGTAGACCAAAAGATCCTCAAAAGCTAGACATCATGCTGCGATCCAAAGAAATTCAGGAACAAGTGAGAAACAGAGTAATTGAGATTTATCAGTCTGGCTGGAAAAGCCATTTCTAAAGCTTTGGGACTCCAGCGAACCACAGTGAGAGCCATCATGAACTTGAACTTGAACTTGAACTTGAACTTGAACTTGAACTTGAACTTGAACTTGAACTTGAACTTGAACTTGAACTTGAACTTGAACTTGAACTTTATTGCCATATGTAACCGGTACTGGTACAATGGAATTCTTACTTACAGAAAGTCTCTCGATTGTAAAACAAGTGTTAAAAACAAAACAAAGTGCAA